TATCCTTAAGCGAGGAAAAGATGACAATGTCATCGGCAAATTGCAGAAGCTCGGTATCAGAGTGCTTCATTGACGTTTCTGAGGTAGAGATTGAAAAGCGTCGGGCTCAGGACAGAGCCCTGCGGGGTGCCTTTCAGCGTCGATCTTGGCTCGGAGATAGAACCTTGGCTAACAAATTGCACTGAACGATGAGAAATAAGATTAGATATGAAAGAAAGCAAGCGAGGGGGGAAGTCCAATTTGCAAAGATCTTGAAGGAGAACGTGAGGGAGAACGTTATCGAAGGCCGATTTTATGTCAACAAATACCGCTACAGTGTCCTGCTTAACCAAGAAGCCTGCATGAATACCAGCAACAAGAGCGGTCAAATTATCCTGACAGGAACGAAACTTTCTGAAGCCAAATTGATTGTCAGGAAGTAATGGCGTGTCTAAAGTAGGGGACTCAATGAGCCAATACATGCGATTTAGAATCATTCTCTCCATGATCTTCAATGAACAGGAGGTGAGGGAGATGGGTCGAACACCGCTACTGTTAGGTTTTGGTAAGAGGTGGACCAAAGAGTGGGACCATTGAGGGGGAAAGATAGCGCAGCGGAAGATGTTGTTGTAGATATCTAGAAGGGATAAGAGAAGCTCTGAAGGAAGAGCTTTGATACGATAGTCTATCCTGTCGAGACCTGGACTGGAGGAGGCTTTAACTGATTGAAGGGCCACACGAAGCTCATTGTAAGTGAAAGGATCATCCAGCCAGGCCAAACCGCCTCAGTATGGCGAGGGGAATTCAGGAGTCGGAGGAGGACAAGAAGGAGGACATAGTTTGTCGATAGTTTCCTTGATCGTATGTGATATATCCGCGTTTCTGTTCTGAGCCGGGGAGTTAGCGGGTAATAGCCGACGGTTACGAAAACGCTTGAGCATGCGCCAGATATCCGCCGTAGGAGTCTTGCCATTAAGAGAATTGCAAAAGGATCTCCAATTATTGCGCTTAGCCTTACGAAGGGTCTTGCGAGTCTGTGTTACGACAGAACGGTAGTAGACGTAGTTGTCCCAGGAAGGATGCAATTTAAAGTTCTTAAGGGCGTCACTGCGGTTCTTCACCGCAGAGGAACACTCAGGAGTCCACCAAGGAGCCGGCGGAAAGCCTTTGCTGGTGAAAGATGCACGTGCTGTCTTAGTTGAAGGAGGCGGTTTCGAAGGAGAGAAATGTTCAAAGCTGGTTGATATGAGTTCCATGAAGGTATTATATTGGGAAACAGGATCATTAGGATCGATATCTTTGATAGTTTGAGAGATAGAGTTCGCCATATTGTGCAGTTTAGACTCTACATCCCACTGTTCCTTGGTGAGTTTGATTCTACAGGAGAAAACAGAAGAGATACGGACTAGACAGTTAACGTCAACCTCCACCGGGTGGTGATCGCTACCAAGAAGGTCAGGCAGGATTCGGGTGTCGCACAGCAGGGAGATGTGCGAGGATGCAATAGCAAGGTCTAGAGTGGAAGAAGAGGGGGGGGGAAGGAAATGTAAGTAGGAGAAGATGGAGGGTTAAGGATTATTAGGTGGTGGTCTTCAATACCCTGGGCAAGTAAACGTCCAGTAGGGCTAGTGTACGTGCCGCCCCACATAGGGTGATGTGCGTTCATATCTCCGAGTAAGATAGCGGGTTCGTGGCTGTTTAAGAAAGAAGTGATGGAAGAGATAGCTGCGGCTGAAGTGGGCACATTAGGGTGTCGATAGGCTCCAATCAGAGTTAGACCAGAATTATTTAAATTAAGTGTTATGCCCAGCGCTTCAAGGGAATCATCCACTATGACAGAAAGATCAATGGGTGAGTAAATAATCGGATTACGAATAAAGACCATCATGCCTCGAATGTTCGCCATATTAGAGTCAATCCGCAAGCTGTCAAAGCCACGTATACGAAAATCGTGTCTTTGGCTTACGCATGTTTCAGCAAGAAAGAGGATGTCCACAGATTCCGCCAGCTTCTCGATATCTCCCTTCTTTCCGACGGCTCCACGGCAGTTCCAGTACGCTATTTTTATAGATTGCAAATTAGACATAGTTGTGTAAGAAGGTTTTGAGTGAATCGAGGATGTTTTGGAATTCGGATCCGAAAATTGCTGTGAGGAGCGGAATAGGTATTAAATTCAGAATGTTCAATATGAAGGGCGCGATCGAGCGCATAAATTGTGAGAAGTCGTTGAAGTTATAGTTTAAGGGAGGAGAAGAAAAAGGCGCTATAGGTGGGAAGGAGGGGAGGGGGAGAGGGGGGACGAAAAGGTAGGATAGCCGAGTCCGGGGGGAGAGAAGTTAGGGGTTCTACCGTTAGGTGTAAAAAGGTATGAGTTGTGAATCTCATGTAAGGGGTCATGAGGATTCATGGTTCTGTGGATCGATGGCTTAGAAGTATTTACAGGTAAATTATGATGATGGGTACGAGAAGTGGAAGAGAGGGAAGGCGCGTGTGGTTCAGAAGAGGGAAGGTGCAGTGATTGTGCGTTCGGAGAAGTGGAAGAAGATTTGCTGGTTACTGCCGCATAAGAGCGGTCCGGGATATACGGTCGACCATCTGATACATAGGAGCTGTGTGACTGTTCGGAAGAGATAAGGTCATTGTAATTGACGGTTTTGCGGGCTGAAAATGAAGGTTGAGGGAGAGAAGGAAAATCAGAGTGGTGAAAGGTATTAGGAGGTGAAGAGGGGTGCAGAGGGGGGAACCGAGTCTAAGGCGTGCCTCAGCGTAAGAAATATTATCCAAGGCCGCTGTTGCATAAATTTGCTTCTGTCTTAGATATGCAGGGCACGACGGGGAAGAAGGCAGGTGTTCCCCACCACAGTTGCAACAACATGGGGGAAGCTGCGACCGGGGACACTCCTCCGGCAAAGAATGTTTAGCATTCCCACACCGAGCGCATCTCGCTTTGCCCTTATATTCTGCGTTAACGTGGCCGTAACGAAGACACGAGAAACACATTAGTACTCTAGGGAGATAAGGGTAAACAGGAAAGTTAACATGCAGAAAAGTGATCGCGCGGGGTAGGAATTGACCTCGAAATTTAATAAGGATAGTTTTAGATGGAGAAGTAACGAGCTCACCGTCGCTGCGCGTTCTAATGTTGAGACGTTTAGCTGACAAGATTTTGTATTGCGATGAGAATAAATTAACCACGTCGTTTTCGGAGATATCTAAGGGAACGTTACGAATAACGCCCGTTCGCAGTATGTTGAATGACGGGATGGATGCAATAAGACCGGCGTTCTTGATGTTCTGATGCGTAAGAGCCTTATTTGCCGTCTCCATGTCCCCAAAATGAACGGCGACCTTGTTTCTATCCGCGGATTTTATTTCAAGTATTTTACCGTTAGCGAAGCGTGAAACTATTCTCACAACTGATATCGGATCGAGGTGTACATCGTTATTCGCATTGTCCGTAGCGCGACGAACGAAAACAATAAACGGGGAGCGGTCCCCTTTGTCATAGGTTATGTTGAGGTTATGATCGGCGTTAGAGCCCGTGTTCGTGACATTGGACATGGCTTTAGGCGCTCTCACATCTTCCTCAGATGACGAGGTTCTGGCACGCTTGTTTGGGGGGGTTCCCCTTGGGTTGTCGACAATGATATTATTTGGAACCAATGAAGCCGACGACTGTATGTCGGTGTATCCACAGTCGCTCGTATCCATGGAGTCCTCATTCCTCGTATCCATCGTCCTCAAGAGGAGAGGGGGGATTCAAGCACTGATTGTCGCGTATGTTTACCGGTGAACGGGACCGAGAACGTGAAAGCGATTGCATAGATATGATCGAGGATGTGCGAGAATTGGGAGAGGGATCACATTTAGGTGCATCATTCTTTTCTTTTTTCCCTTTCTTTTTCCCTATGTTCGCTTTACCCGATGCGGATGATGTAGCAGGTAGCGACGGTTTTCGACCTTTGATCAATGGCGGAGGCATTAATTGTGAAGAGATCAGCCGAATATTCTCTTTGTCACTGCCATGATCATCACTCACGTTCGCGCAAAAAGAGTCAAAGTCCTTTAGGGTAGCGGAGATCCGCTTATCGTTATCAGGTGGCGGGCCGCCGCCGGGATCCGGCGAGGCCATGACACCGTCCTGCATAGCAGGGACAAAGAAATTCTAGTAACAGGCAATAAAGTATATACTCACGCTAAAAGAAAGAAAAAAAGGTAAAAGGGTACCTCAAGGAGAAGAGTACCGTAAATACGGAAGGCAGGCCGAGGCCCAGAATGCACGGGAAAACAGCCAAAGGAACGTAGGCGCTAAGGAGAGACCACTACTCGAACCGTCGCGATCGATCATCACACCACGCC